AAATATATGAGTTGAAATAAGCGGAGGAATGGTTAAAAATGATACTGCTGTTGATTATTATTATTATGGTTGCCTGCTTTATCAAGAAGATACAGATTATGTTTTCTGGAAATAAACCATAGATCTTTCAAAGTGGCATGTAATAATAGTGATGTAGACAAATTCTGCTAAGCATAATAGTTTCAGGGAATCTATCTTGTTGACAATGTCCTCCTTTAGTAAGTTGAGGAAGCCAAAGATGTTCAGCTATTCCTGACCTGATAGAAACAAAGAATAAATTGGTGAATGGTAGGAGTGGAGGGTTGTAGAAAAGCTACCATATCATGCTGGAGTTTTTGAATGTAAAGAATGTAAAGAAAACTAGAACTTAGTATCTATTATCTGGGACTTTCAACCAATCAGAATAGACCTTGGAGGTCCTCTAGTCCCTGCTCAAGCTGGAGACCTTATACCATTTCAGGTAGGTGGTTATCCAATCTTTTCTTAAAAGCCTCCATAGATGAAGCACCTGCAACTTCTGAAGGCAAGCTGTTCCATTGGTTAATTGTTCTCATTGTTAGGAAGTTGCTCCTTAATTCCAAGTTGTGTCTCTCCTTGATTAGTTTCCATCCATTGTTTCTTGTCTTGCCTTCTGGTGCTTTGGGGGAAAAAATGATCCATTCTTCTCTGTGGCAGCCCCTCAAATATTGGAATATTGCTATCATGTCACCCCAGTCCTTCTTTTCTAGACTGGCCATACCCAAATCCTACAACTGTTCTTCATATGTTTTTGTCTCCAGGCCCTTAATCATCTTAGTTGCTCTTTTTTGCACTTTTTTCAAAGTCTCAATAAGAAAGTAGACTTCAATAATCTCAGAGCAATGATAGGATTTCATAGCAGAAAAAGTTAATGCAAAAAAGAGTTGAAGGTGGATGGAAGTAACAAGAAATAAAGAACCACTAAACTGGAATAGTGAGAAAATATAGAAAGACGCCATTGGAATCTGCTTTTTTGTAAAATTCTTTTGTACCCTCTGGTGAATGAGCTATAGTGGAATATATCTTATATAGTATAATGAGCTAATAGCTACTGGCTTATAGAACTTTTCACTTCAGCCTTGTTCTAATAAATCTTTTTTTAAAATTATCCTGTTATCCATATATACAGTACATGGCATTAATCCTTCATTATTTGTATATGGCTTATTAAAAATGTTTGTGGTAATCAGAATTGTACCAAGTAAGGAAAAGGAGTGGAAAGTTGTGTACAGAGAGCTTTCACTTAGTTGCTTCTGCTATTTAACAAGATGGACTGAGTTCCGAGATTTGCAAACTTGTTTACCAAGATGCTGATAGCAATGTATGCCTAATTTCAATCTTAATTGGCAAACCTTTTAAAGACTGAAATACTATAGAGTGAATTATTTCTTCCACGAATAATGGCAAGCCCAAATTAATTTTGTTGAACTGGTTTGATCAGTCTAATTAATGCTGCTTCCCTTTCTTACTACTACATGTTTATATCCTGCAGAGTGCATGAGTAAGTTGTCCACAATTTGAATTTGTAAGTAGTTGGACGTAGTAGTTGCATAGTATGGAAGCTATGCAAGTATACCTGCCTGTTTTGTCCTATGAGACAGTTTTCTAATTTTTGTTGGTCTGGGCCTTGTGTTAGAGGTCTCAATATTGCCTCCCCTTAAGGGTGAGATGGGGTGTTTTATGTATAGCTTTAGATGTTATATTAGTTACTGAGCAGTAGGAGGCACTACATGACTGATTTCCTGTTTATTGAACTCTTCAGGCTTAAAAAACAGAACATCTGCTGTAATGTACAAGGTACTTACTCCTAAAGAGTCCCAACAAGATGTGTAGTCTCTTATATTGGTTAATACCTAATGTAATTTATTTGAAATCCTGTTATGTGAAGGCTTTAAAGAGAATGGCTTCAAGAATGATAATGTGGAAAGGAAGGGAGAAACAGCTTAATTAAATAAGAACAACAGCCGGAGAGCCCTTAGTTAGAGAAAATATGGGTGACAAATGTTTATATTTTATATTATAGCATATTTGGTGCTTTTGATGTAGTAAAAGCTTTGCAAAGCTCCTGTAGCTGCCTCTGAAGCTGTTCCTAGTTGTGTCTGCACAGAAAACACATACATAGATAGTTTGCTTTGTAAGGAGCTTCAGGAACAGTTCCAAAGACACGCCTGACTGAATGACTCAGCGAAGGGTATTGTTCATATTCCTGAGCATTGCATAATACTTACTTCTCATGCTTTGCCCTGCCCTAGCATGCTGCTTTGGCAAAGTTCATTCTAAAAGTTGTCAAGGACCTGAAAAAAGAACCACTAGCCAAAGCATTCCCAATCTACTGTGCTCTATGTAGGTTAGATTTCAAGTTTTTCTCTTCTCAGCACCAGGCATATCTGTGGCAAAAACATTCCACATTAAGGGGAAACTTAAGGGTATAATTTTTTAAAAAAGTAAAGCTGCTGCTTGCAACAATGTGATTGATGTTCTTTTTTATTTGTGTTGCATGTAAAAACTTTTAAAGACAGGCAGAGCCTTGATTTTATTATATTTTCTTATCTAGAAATTGCAAGCATTTACATTTTAACATTCATATTAAATTTAATTTATTTTCATGTTGGAAAAAGAAATACAAAAAGTCTTCTCTTACTGGAGTTTGTGTCACATCTTATATTTGTCTCACATCTTATATTTTCCTAGTTTCCATAGAAATTACATTTTATTATGTCCTTATCATTTAAACATGCCATAAACAAACAGTTCTTTTAATTCTTTTAATCTGTTTTAGTTCTAATTAGGTTTTTGTTAACTTGAAAACTGGTTTTGCTGACATTTTATTTTTAAAAAAATAAGCTGTAAATGAATGGCCTTAAAAACTCAACTGTAAACTTAGGTATTTAATAATTGGACAGTCCATTGGTTCTTAAATTACTGTGCTTATATCTTGAAAGTTGCTTCTCTTTTGTTTGAGTAGGTGAAGAAACAGATAAACTTTATCCTTTAAGTTGGTTTTGGTTAATTGCAGTTTGATAAATAAGCCACAATTGGCAGAGTTCACACATAACACTGTTGAAACTATAATAATTTGAAAACATCAATATATGGAAGTGGGATCGCTGCATTACAATATCTTTTCCTTGGGGTACTTCCACAATTTAGAAGCTATTGCAGGGATTGGAAATAGTGATTGAAGTAAGATAGGGTAGGGGACTACAAAGACCATATTAATTCTCTGTTTCACCTCAAGGTATTAAAATATCATTATCTTCAACATGTCCTCTTTTTTCTTCTCACCATCCCAGGTTCTTCTAGTCTCTCTGGTAAAGAAAATAGAAAATAGTCGTGGGATTTTCTTGAAATTGTGTTTCACTGGGCTGTTCAGATAGACACAGTGAAAGAAACTAACATCCAGGAACAGTCAATTGGAGAGTAGTATCTGTTCTTTGCTATTAGCATCACTCACTTTGAGGAAAGCACACAGCAGAACCAGGAAGGGGTAAGAATGGATTCGCACAGTTCACTAAATCATAAACCATAGCTTATACACCATAATGACTATTCACCTGACATACTAAACCAAAACTAAACAAACCACATTATAAGTTTAATATTTTTATTAAATTAGTCAGAATCTTTGTAGTGGGCCCAATTATTCTACAGGAGTACAATCTGCTTTTTTCCCCATTTTGAAGCTATTGAGATTACAGTTCCCAGAATTCCTAGCTGGTGTGGCTGACACACCTGGAGTACACCAGGTAGGAAAAGTTCTACTAGAATAGATCTGTCAAACTGGTGGCCTGCAGGCTGGATACATCATGTTCAGGTGACACCCACTCCAGCTCCTCAAAGGCAAAAAACATCATGATATGTCATGATATGTCAATATACATCACATGACACAATCACCCCTGTGCTAGAACCTCAGCAATTTTAGGATGCTAAACTCCAGAGGTAAAAAGTGATGTACAGCTTCTTAAAGAAAATATTGTTCAATCAGATTTAGCTGAGCTGTGAGTTGGTACTACTAGCCAGTATCAATTGAGCTTTCAGCTCATTAAAATAAATGTCAGAAATTAGATGCTATCAGTAGTCTTTATGGCTGATAATTGGCTTAGTTAATAGCCTGTGAGTAAAAGCAATGATATTTGAGAGTTCATTAATTCATAATGAGTGCATGAAATTTGACAGTGGCTCAGTGGCAGATAACGGTCTTTTTAAACCTAATAATTACCTTTCATACTCAAGGTGCTTTTGTAACCAATAACTTTTGCTGGTAACAAGTTATTTCATGCTTAGTATTTATTGTTCCAAGCTGAGAACAAGGCTATTTTTGACTTTTAAGAACAGTTAACAATCATTACTTCAGTAATAGTGTACCTCAAGGAATACTGTTTTAAACTATTTTAGTTGCATGTCATACATTTATTAATACAATTAACTTACATGATAGGAGCTGAAGCATTCCTGATACAATTTTCAGCAGTCTAAAGCAAAGCTAACTATTTTCTTCTTAATTATATGAGAAAGGTAAGTTAAATTACTATTAGTCAAAACATCTTTTTAGTATATGCATGGATAGGGTCTTGTGACTAAGAAGAAAGCTAACATTTTAAAAATAATTGGAGAAAGGAAAGACCTGAAAAGTAATTCTTACTGTCAGATATTCATTCATATATTTGAAATTAGGGTTGTATATTTGAAAAGGTGGCCCATAAAATGTAATTTAAAATATATAAACTGTTTAGTACTATCAATAACAAGATAGCAGTACCTGTAACAGAGACAAGACTATAAGAATCTTATAGTCAAGACAAGAATCTTTAAAAAGAAATTAATCAGGCCTCATTTATGTTATAGATGGTGTGCTATGTTTCATAGCCACAAAGCATATCCTATAGGATCACTACATTACTTTACTATTCCTGCTTGTTTCAAAATAACAGATTATGAGATTGCAGTATCATTCATTGGCATTATGCCACTCCATTATTTTAAAGTGTCCCTGAATCAATCACTGTATCTTCGTAAGGTTGGTAGAATTCTTTCATATTTGCCACTTGCATCTGGATCCCAGCAGCATTCGGATCTGGGGTGCTCTGAGGACTGTGGCTCAAGATGGTAGTTTTACGGCTGCAGACGCTGCCATTGGACAGCTGCCGCCTGAGATTGGACCGGAGATTGCCGCAGCAGGAGAAAAAGTGGAGGACACCATAAAAGAGATGCCCACTGAAAAACATGTAAATCCAGGGATTAGAGCAGCTGCTAAGGCTGGCCAGCAACATGGTGATGGTAAAAGTCACATCGCTTGACTCTGGAGCAAAGAGAGAAGTAAAGTGAGGCCTTTTCTTTTTCAGATCTGTATCAACCATAATAAGAACAGTGGCGTGGACGTCTAGGTATAATGATCAGATGTACCTATATGGTACCTCACTGTATGTATATCCTGGATACAGTTATTGCATCTTGGCACATAGAGTAAAAATTCAACAGTGTTAATGATCATATAATCAACATGTAAACACAAACATTTTTTAAAAGAAAACATGAAAATGAACCTCATCAGTATGGAACCCCCATTACGTATCTGATATTAATACAGTTGAGAAAGTCCAGAAATATTTCACAAGAGTTCTCCACTCCTCTAATTGTTGCAAAATACCTTATGCCACCAGACTTGAAATCTAGACCTAGAAAATTAGAACTACATCGTCTTGGATCCAATCTAAGTATAGTATATAAAATCATACACTGCAATGTCCTACCTATCAATGAATACATCAGCTTCAACCATAACAGCACAAGAGCAAACAATAGATACAAGCTCAAGGTTAACCGCACTAAACTTGATTGCAGGAAATGCGACTTCAGCAATACTCTGCCTGATTCTGTGGTTTCTTTCCCAAACCCCAAAAACTTTAACGTTAGACTATCTCCTATTGACCTCACCCCTTTTCTAAGAGGTCTGTAGGGGGCGTGCATAAGCACACCAACGTGTCTACCGTCCCTGTCCCATTGTTTCTTTTTATTTTTCTTATTTGTATCCATTTCATGTATTCATACCTATGTTTATACTTATACCTGTTATCTTATAATCGCTGGACAAAATAAATAAAATAAATTAAAATAAAAACCTGCTCCCAAAGCATGGCATCCTCTCCCTCCAGAACTGTGTTTAACTCTTCCCCTTCTGTTTTTAGGAAGGGAGCCAAGTATTTTCTCTTTTAGCCAAGCACTTTCAAGTTGAATTACTTTATAATTATGATTTTTATTTTTTTTAAATTACAATTAACTGTCTTAAATGTCCAAAGTACAGAAAAGGTGAATAATAACAGTGTACAAAATACACTGCCATACCAATGCTGATTAAATTTCACACTTATTACTTCTGACCATCTGGTTTTTCTTTGGCAAGCTATAAATTGTCTTAGTATTTCTAACATTGAACATAGAGGTTAGAATTCCCCCAATAATCTGTATTCTTAAAGGATGTCTATTTATTCTTTCTTTCTAGGCTATCAGAGTTTTCTGCATGTGCCTGTTGCCATCTAGTGATCAACTGGATTTTTGCATGGCAAATTATACTGATGCAATCTAGATTATACAGAGAAAATGCTGCTAGATGTCAGCAAAGAGATTGTTGTTGTTTAAATTGTTTGCAGATGTCTAAGAGTTATCTCTCTGCCTCACAGAAACAAGGGTTTGTTCTCTTAATGTCTAAATAATGTTATTTAGTTAAAACTCAGTATGGAGAGGCATTATCAGACATATTCAGTCTGATATGCAGTCTGAACATGCAGCAGTTTTACACATATTTTTTTAAATATCTATAAAATAATTTATATAAATAAATAAGACCTTCTCCATGTAATGGATTATGTAAAGGTGGTTAACAACTATCATTCTGGACACTAAACTCTGTATAAAAAACAATGCTTTTTTCCACTGCAACCTGTCAATTTATATGCAGTCACAATCCACCAGGAGTGTCCAGAAACTAGGACTAAACTAGTTTTTGATGCCTGCAATATTTTCATCGACGCTCCCTGATCTGCAGAATCCAATTATAGCAGTGTTTTTCAAACTTGGCAACTCTGAGATATGTGGACAACACCCAAAATTTCCCAAACCAGCATGCCACAAATCTTAAAGTTGCATGTTTGAAAAATACTGAATTACATGAATTCAAAAAATTATATAATTTGAACTGAACAGAAAGACAAAGCTGAATAGGATATTGGATAGAAGAGGCACACAGATCTCCCTTAATGGTCCATTGTCCTTCCTATGCACATTGGGAAGGACAGTGAAAACAGGGCTGTTTTAGATGTGTCATATATGCATAGGACAAAAGTTAATCTATATCTTAGAGGCATGTGCAGCAATAGCATGGATTGACTTGAATCTTGATATGTACATAAACAGAGCAAGTGTGTTTCACATTTGCATTTAGAATATAATGCTTACTTGGTGCCTTGTTTGTATGTTTAGAAAAGGATTAGTATTCAAGCCTTTGAAGATCTAAACCTAGCACTATAAGCATTAGTACAATTATTCTTTAGCTCCCACAGTTTGCAACTTGTTATTTTGAGTTTTAATTTAAAATCTTTAGCTAATGATTATGGTTTTTTAAAGTGTTTATTACTTCTAATTATACATTCCAATATTTTTTAATTTAAAAAATAAGTATGTGATGAAGAATTATGGATAACATAACTAGTTTGAGTGCAGTTCTATAAAGAACTTAAGGAAAATTTAATACTGGACATATAGCCATTTGAAGTTACAACAGCACTGAAAAAAGTAACTTACAACTAGTCCTCACACTTATGACCACTGTAGTATTCCCCATAGTCACATGGTCGAAATTTGGACATTTGGCAACCAGCATATATTTATGATGGGTGCAGCATCCTATCTGGCTTCTGATAAGTAAAGTCAATGGGGGAAGCTTAACAATCAATTGGTTCAATTAACTGCAATGATTCACTTAACCAACATGGCAAAAAGGTATATGCAATCAGGCATGCCTCGCTTAACACCTACCTTGTTTAGAAATGGATTCTGATCTAAATGTGGTTGTAAGTTGGGGACTACCTGTATGTACAATCGTAGACACATAATTACACATATTTGTAATAGATAGATGTTATCAACTAAGTTACAAAAACACTTTTTTCTCTAGCCTGTAATTATTTCAAAGGCATAATTTAGGCACGGGTATATTTTGTAATAATATTAAAATATGTAAGTTTTTTAGAAAGAATATCCTCAAAGGAGCAAAATTAACTTACCTGCAATTTTCTTTCAGTTCTAAGTAATTTTAGTCTGCCATCATATGTAGAGCAGTGCAAACATTACAATACATATTACTGATAAACATACAATAGGTGGATAAAGTTTTTATAATGGCAAGTGGGATAGAGCATCATTGCATGTATTGTATTTTTTTAAAAAAATATGTCCTAATTTCTTTTTCTGCTTAGATAGAATTGAAATAAAAACCATAGTTGTTCCCTCTGAAATCCTGACTGAAATCCTGTAATTGCACTGGCTGTGAACCCCCTCTATGAATCTGGCAGCAGACTGAACTTCTCAAACTGGTACCCCATCCCTCCAATTAAAAATTACTCACCATCATTGGGTGCATTCTTATCCCACACTGTCCACATCTGTACACTGAAGAAAGGTGCCCAACAAGCAACATAGGCCATCACTATGACAAAAGTCATCTTTACTGTGCGGATCTTGGCACGAGATATGGTACGCACACTGCTAACCCGAGACCCAGAATGGTACCCTTCTGCTCCATTCTGATCAGTGGCTATGTATGAGATAGCATCTGCTGCAGAGAGACCACATCTTTGAGTCTTTCCTCTAAGATTCTTGCAGATCTTATGACAGATCAGGCCATAACAAACAGAGAGGATAACCACCGGCAGTACAAAGACGCACAAAGTCATCCATGTAATATACACCTTGACTCCCCAAGGGTATTTGAACTCTGCCCAGCAATCCAGCAGACCAGAACCTTGGCGGACTTCCCTTACTGAGAAGATGAAGAGCTGAGGTATGCTAAGCAAGCAACTTAGTAGCCAAGTGACTCCAACCATTAGATATGCCTGGCAGGTTGGCTGCCGTAGAGTACGCAGTGGGTAGCACACAGCCATGTAGCGATCCAGTGTCATGGCAATAAGCATGTATGTGGAGGCAAACATGCTTAGCACCTGCAGGTACTTGACAACCTTGCAGAGTGGATCAGGACCCTGGAAACGATAGGTCATTTCCCAAATCATCTGGGGAAATACCTGGAAGAGGGCCACCCCAAGGTCTGTCAGTCCCAGGTGAAGAATGAAAAGGTGCACCCGGCTCATCTTCTTCCGAAGGCGATACATGGCCAGAAGGATACCCAGGTTTCCCACCACAGTCACCACCAAGATAGCAGCCAGAATACCAATCTCAACCTTAGCAAGTTCTTCATCTCGGGTGTGGAGAATAGACTTGTTGAGGTCCCCACTCAATGGCTTGATGTCTTCCAGCAGAGAGCCCTCCAATAAGTTCCTAAAATATGTGGTATTCCTCTCCATTGATTAAGGTTCTTAGATGTTTGATGATTTTTCAGAAATGTGTCAGTACATGCTTTAGGCAGCTGAAAAGCTATTTTTCTCTCTCTTATAGTAATAGAGCATTTTGAGCTAAACTGCACAGATCTGATTAACTTCCCAATCTTGGATCTGCTCCATTTTTTCTTTTTTACTGACCATGCTGTTAATATTTGGCTCCGTTATTTATTAAGATTTAATTAGCAATACAATTATTTCTAACAGCATATTCATGGTTCTAGAAAATCTACAGATCTCCTCCAAATATTCAGACTATACAAAATGGCTTGATTAATTTTCATTTTTCACTTCTGCACTCATCCTTTAAGATAAGCTTCTTCTTGAAATAATACTGTTTCTCCTCTCTCACTTTCTTTACTTCTTCCTTAATTCCGTACTGACACCTCACTTCTCCATTTCTCAGTGCAAAATTCTTTTTGTCTAATCAGCCTTGTTATTATTAACTCTTTATAGAAATAACTATTTAAAATGCAAAGAATAATCCTAGTATAAATTGACCTAAAATAAGTATCGGAATATAAATGCAGAATCGAAGAAGGTGGGTATCTTTTTGGATGCAGGCAGAAGTCAGGTGCTAAATCTGTATGCTGATGAATTGACTCAGGCTGTTCAAATAGTGTCAATTGCTTGGACTGGGTTTTTATAGAGTGGAGCTGTCCCCTCTGGTTGGTTCCTGCTGTCTGGCTAAACTGTCATCCCTGTTGTTAAGCACGAACTTTAAAAAAAGTCTGCTGCCATCTACATGAATACAAATCCACGGGTGTGCACACACATGTATGCAATCACTAGAGCGAGTGTACTTTTCTTTCATGAGTAAATACACAGATTCAGCTAGACATCCAATTTTGCAATCTCTTGCTCCAGATGAATATTTGGATTGCTGTCTATGAAAATAGTGCTTTTTCAGACTTTTTTTCTTTAAGCTTCAAGAGTCTTGCTATAGTATCAGCAGATTATGCAGAAGTGTGGAACTAGTAATCCTGAAAATCTTTTCATTACCTCTTTTATTTTCTGCCTCATGGACTTCAAGATTTTTATATTCAAATCTTTCTCCCCCAGCTCATTGTTACATACAAATGTTTCACGTAATTAAATGATAAATGAATAGAACAGCAAAGAAAGCTGCAAATGTTTAAGGATGGTATTGAAATTATTTTGAGAAATCCCATTGTTCTCCTTTTTTTCTCTTCTTTCAAGGGGCTGGTTTATCATTCTCATATCACTAAAGGATAACTTTGGAATCAGAACCATATGGAATAGAATTTGACTCTATAAAATGTGGAGAAAAATAATAGCTCTCCTTGTGTAACTAGCAATAATCTTCCAAGGCTATCTGCAGGGTGTGGCATAGAAAAATTAAGATGTGAGCTGCGATGATGTGATTGAAGTCCTGGCTGGTTTTATGTGTTTGCACATAAAAACACACACATGAAAAACAGATGGACCGTCAATCATATAATCATGACTGTCATCTAGATTTTTTTTACCATATCCCATGAAACTGCAAAGTACTTTCCCAAGGACACAACCTTGTAACATTCATCTTTACAATAATGATTGGTCTGACTAGTATATATTTATTGTGACTAGACTTTTGCCATGAGGATTATAATTGCCCTTTTGCCATGAGGATTATAACAGCAATAGGAATAGCACTTCAATTTATATACCACTTCATAGTGCTTTATAGACCTCTCTAAATGATTTACAAAGTCAGTATAGCCCCCAACAATCTGGGTCCTCATTTTATCGACCTCAAAAGGATGGAAGGCTGAGTCAACCTTGAGTCAGTGAGGATTGTGACTTCTGACAGTGAGCTGAATTAGCCTGCAATATTGCATTCAAACCACTGCACCACCATGGCTCTTAGTGGTGGTGTTTTGGTATTTTCTATCCAGAAGTGCTCATTTTGATTGTATTTATTTAAATTATTTAGATAAGAATATATATGTAATGTTATATTATTATATAATCATATAAACTGCCAAATGACTCTGGGCAGATTACAATATTCAAAACTCCCTCTTCTTACAATATAAGCCCCCATGCCCAAAATTAAACAAGTAATTGTCCATAGCAGCAGAGTTCATATCCCTTCTGACTCAAATGCTCGAATGTTGGCAGGATCAGTCATGTCTTCAGTGCCTTGTGAAAGGTTAAGTGGAATGAGTCATCCAGATCTCTTGGAGAATGCTGTTCCACAGGCAGGTGCTGCCACTGAAAAGGCACAACACCGGTGCCCAACAAGATGACAACAAGAGAACAAGAGGCCTGGAGCATGCTCTCTCCATTATTCCTGATGGGGCCAAGCAAAAGCAATAGGAGAAAGGCAATTTTCCTAAATGATCTTTATAAATGAATGCAGTACAGGTAGTCCTTGACTTACAACAGTTCACTTAGTGACAGTTTGAAGTTACAATGGCATTGAAAAAAATGACACGACCATTTTTCATACTTACAATCATTGCAGCATCCCCATGGTTATGTGATTGACATTCAGATGCTTGACAACTGACTCACATTTATGACGGTTGCAGTGTCCTGAGGTTGTGTGATCACCTTTTGCAACCTTCTGACAAGCAAAGTCAATGGAGAAAGCAGTTTCCCTTACCAACCATGTTACTAATTTAACAACTGCAATGATTCACTTAACAACAGTGGCAAGAAATGTCAGAAATGAGGCAAAAGTTCCTTTACAAATTTCTCACTTAGTAACATAAATTTTTGAGCTCAATTGTAGTTGTAAGTTGAGGACTACCTATATCTGTGATACAATAGCAATATGTAAAATAATAAAGATTTAATATTGCACTTGGCTACTGAATGTTTTACACCTGTTCCTTCATTAATAATCTGTTCCACAAAAATCTTTTTCCATAGTACCCAGATCATTTAATAATGCTATCAAAACAGTAAGAAATGTCAAAAGAAAAGATAATTTCCTTTGAGGGAGATAGAAATACATTTTAGAACTCTTAATTTCAAATTTTTTAAAATGCAGAATCATTGCATAAATGGGGCAAATTGGCAAAGCACCTGATTTTTGGAGCACTATTCACCCTTTTGTTCAATTCTCATTCAGACAATTCATAGGTTTCTTTCTCTCTCTCTTTTTAAATGGTGAATTTTATTTCGGTCCCTAAGCAATGACTGATGATGATGATGATGATGATGATGATGATGATGATCTGTAAACTTGCTGTTCACTTGAAGGACCTATTCAGAGAAAGGGTTGTCCAATCTCCTGTTTCAGTCAAGACTGATTGATTGATTGATTGAGTGCCATTGAGTACTCAATCAATAGTCAATGGTATGCACTCTTGGCAATCACATTAAAAGATCTTTTCTGGGATGAACTATTCCCAGTCTGGCTCTTCAAGTCATCCATTGCCAGTGTAAAAAGGTATATTTACCCTCCTTCTGGACAGCCTCTTCCTTCCTTCCCTTCCACCTTTCCTTGTTGAGTGACCTGAGTGAGAATTCTGATTGTTTATGATCTATTTAGTTTTATTGCTATTCATGGTATTCTTAAGAGTCTTCTCTAGTACCAATATTCCATAGCTTCAATATCCTTTTTATCCTGCTTCTTCAAAAGTGATCTTTCACATTCATAGAGAATATTTGAACAATTGTGAACCTTGTAGGTACTGTATTGAGTCATAGTTCATCCATAGATGAAGACCATTGGTTCATTAGCTTTTCTCTGATTATAAAATCCACTGCAGCTCTACCAGGTTGTCTTCTGCCTGGGTTGACTTTCCCATAATTCAACAATGGCATTACTAAATTCAGTGAATATTCTCTATTTGAATTATAGGTGTTAAGGAATTAAGGAATTTATCTCTATAGCTTTAGTTTGCTTAGTCAACAGTTTCCACTTACCCATATCATATTCAGTGGTGGGATTCAATATTTTTTACTACCAGTTCTGTGGGCGTGGCTTGGTGGGCATGGCAGGGGAAGGATACTGTAAAATCTCCAGTCAAAGGTGGTATTTGCCGGTTCTCTGAACTACTCGAAATTTCTGCTACCGATTCTCCAGAACTAGTCAGAACCTGCTGAATACCACCTCTGATCATATTGCACATGCTCCACAACAGAGTTTTTCTTTTTATTGTCAGATGTTAAATAGACTCTTTTTACCCTGGATTACTAGAAATGCACTCTCTAACTCAAACTCTTTCTTTGATAGAAATCTGAAAATTGCATTATAAAAAATAATATCAAGACGATTGGATAAATATTTATTGGCACAGGTTAATTGAATAATTCCAGTGACTAAGTGAGCCATTATGCTGATTGGTACTCTGTCTTTCTTCACCCAACAGTAGTACTGATCTAGTTCTATGATACATTACACCAGGGCTGTCAAACCTAGCCTGTGGACCAGATGCATCACATGTTGGCCATGCCCATGCCCGGTTTAGTGAAAGGGAAATTTTTTTTGATACATCCTGTGACACTGCCATGATGACGTGAGTTTGAGTTTGACACCCTTGCACTACACCATTAAGAAGCTCTTACTATGCTGATATCTGCTTGCATGCAAACAATTTGTTTTCCTTTTTTCTTTACATTAGCTACCATCAAGTACATATGTGTTTTGTTTGTACTACTTACAAAGCAGTGGGTGATGCACCTGAAACAAAAATAAATTTAATGAAATCAACAGGACTCCTGAAAATGCAGTCAGACTGATCTATTTATTTGTCAGTCAGCTGCACAGTATCTGTTACAGCTCCAGGAAGGTCCCTAGATTAAATGATATTCAATCATTTATAATGCTTGCCTCTTAATCTACATTGGTCTCGTTTTAGTTAGAGGCTTAATTAAATCAGGAGCTAAATTAGATGAAAGGGCTTACATATACTGGCTTGCTTTTAATAGTGGTATTTACAGTATATTCTTGAATAAACTTTCTTCTTAGTTCTGGTAGATATATACGTGATCAAAGTATGACCATC